ACTACTACTACTACTACTACTCTCTCTCTCTCCATCGCAGCGAATGAGTCCGCTCGGCGTCCCAACTATGGCGGCTCTGATGCCGGCGCCCGAAGGCGCACTCATGTTTATGAGCCCAAGGTCAATGCCCCGACACTAATGTCAGCAGGCACCTCAATCTTCGGATCGTACAACCCGATCGCATGTACACAAAAAAGCGTGGATGCCATAATCTGGAGCTGTTGCCAGATCATGAGCCTGTACCCCCAGTGGCTGGAAACCTGCAGCGAGCGAGAATGAAGATGTAAGCATCACGCTCTATACATTTGGGGAAACGGCCATATGGTTTCGCCACCTTCCCATCATCTGTTCCCCAAAAAGTGTTCCTGGGCAGGGCGCCCGGCTCCAGGAGCAATGAAGTATAGTGTCCAGCACTGGTGCAGGTACCATGATGTACAATGATTGAGCACACTGTATAGGTAGCCCGAAAGACGTTGAGGCCGCGACCAAAGACTGGCAAGAAAAGCTTGCGAGGAATCGATACCCCAGAGCGGTCTTTGATAGCCCCCAGTGTTCCGTAGCCGTATCTGGCCAATTGTACGAGCACGACTGGGTAAGCCTCACAGAGCCCATGCAAGTAGGCCTGTTGGTGCCAACGGTCAACGCAGTCCTGTAAATCCTCCGCCTTGTCGTCACCAGATAAGTGCATAACTATGGGTGAAAGAAGCGAGCCTGAGTCAATGACATTGATCTGCCCCCAGCTCACCCCAAGGCGAGATTGCCATACACCTTGCATTGCAAGTGGCTGCATTCGAGTCATCATATGGGTGATGAAGTCAGCGGCATCATGTTGGGAAGCCGGCGCTCTCCAACCCCTGAACAGCCTGGCCCACGATGCAAGGCGATAAACTGTGATAGGGGCTGAGCTGTATAAGACATCACGCCAAGCCTGTGCATATTCCCCAAAGAACTGTGCTTCTGGTGCCTCGAGGTTTCCAAAGGTCCATAGCCATGCCAGCACAAAGGAATTGATGTAGCAATGCTGAGTGGGGTTGTTAAGGATCAGGCCTAGAGTTCTCCCAGCATCCTCTGGACGTCCTCTGCCAGGTTGGATCGCCGAAGACCATCTCGCCTCAACTGCATACCCACGATTTGCAGGGCTGCAAGCCCTTGAAGAGCTTCCAGGCCCTTCCACACATCCGCCACTCCCTCCGCCCGAAGCCCAATCTCCAGCATAAAGCGAGCCGTCCCCCGCTGGTCTGCTGCCAGCTGGTGGGTGGCATTGAATCTGTGGACAACATCCTTCCGACGTACTGCCTGAGCCATCGCCGAAAGTAGGTTGAGCAGCTCCTGGAAGTCGAGGGGCTGACGACTGTTGTCCACGATCAGGGCCTGGGTCTGCTGGTCCCACTGTTGGTAGACCCAGCGGCCTTCCTGAGTCAACCAGCCTCTGGCCTGGGCCGCCTGTGATTGTGCAGCGTTGTCCTTCAGGTTGGTGATGCAGGTCAGCACCGTCTGAAAGAGGGTGTGGAGCAACTGGGCTCGCAGCGGGCATTCCATGCGCTTGTTCTTCGCCTCCGTACGGTACGCCTCTGAGGCTCGGAACAACATGGGGAGTGGTCCCTGCTGTCCCGGCTGTAGGTACACGTCCCAAGCTGAGTTCTGCTTCAAGATCTGTATGCTGGTCTCCTGGCGGATGATCAGCCGAGCCATGGCCTTGACGAGGGGCTGGTATTGCTGATCGCCTTTGGGCCCCCCCCTCGGTCGGTTGCCGCCTAGTCCAGAAGGTCTGAAGGGTTGACTGCCTCCCGGAGTTCGTCCCCTTTTCCCGTTGTCCAGTCGGGGGGCCTTGTGAGGCACCATTTCCGGTGTCGAACTTCCCGAGCTCAGCAGCGCCTGTCCAAATGCAGCCGCCTGGGTGCTCACGAGAGGGCCAAACAGCTCCCGGTGCTCCTGTTCGGGGCTGATCTCCTCCATGGGTTGCTACAGGAACAGTGCCACCAGGCACAGTAGAATCACCACGGTTGGCAGCTAAGAGGCAGAACTGCCACAGGACTGAGCACTGTTGTTTGTGATGTCGGGGCTGTTTGGTGTACACTCCACAGTAGAGGCACGGCGAACCTGCACTAGAAAAGGAGCTACACAACTTGATAGCCTGGGAGGAGAGCTGAAAAGCTTGGGGGTGGCTACCCTTGTAGTGTGTTTTGATGACTGTAGAGGAGGCAACCCATTGGCCACACAGGAGGCAGCGCTGCAGGTAGTTATGTCTCTCAGAAAAGTGCAGTACAGCATTGACTTTGTGTACTTTTAGTATCTGCAGCAGATCAGGATGATGTGCTAGCTTGATGCCTGCAACTACGCTGGGGCCTCGCTGCAAGGGCAAGTCATCGTTATCATCCGGGCCAGGTGCAGGCAGTGGCTTGACCCGACAGTACCCGCCTGTGATGCGTCGCTCTAGGAGCTGCCAGGTCGGGAACTGTTTTTTACAATGCCTGCATTGCGGCAGTCCATCCTGGGAGTCGGCAGATTTTGAGAAGCGAGGTCGTGGCGGCCCAGCCTTCTCAGCCTCAAGGTCCTGGTGCTGTTTAGCAATATGAGTTTTAAGAGCTGCCCTGGTGTGGTATGTGATGCCACAGTGAGGACAGATCTGAGCATCGCACAGCTTGGGGTCAAGGTGAGTGATTCCATGCAGGACCTGGGTGTCCAGGGTAGACTGAATCTGCCGCCACCAGGAGTCAGGAGGGGCACATACGAAGGGGTCGGCAGGAGCCACGGATATGCGGTCACCTTCGGCACACAGCAGGGTTTGAAGGGCCACATGCGGAAGCGGGAAATTGGCAGCTGAGCACACCTCCGCGTTTGTCGTTCGCGTGATGTGTGCAGGGAGCCTAAGCACCGCACGTAGTTGCCGAACAACAAAAGTCTCGAGTTTTTGTATGCCTGTGGGAGGCAACCCCGATGCTGTCAAACCGTACTGGGTCGTCGTCCAGACGCACGCTTGCCAAAGTCGTAGCCTCTGGGGAGCGGTGAGGTGGTGTTGGCCCTTCAGCACTTTGCCAAGACGCTGGAAGGCTGCTTCCCCTTTGGATAATCTCCATTCGAGGGTCTGGCGTTCAAAGTGGGTGTAGCTCACACGGGCACCCAGATACGTAAAACAGTCAGTGAGTGGTACATTGAGGACCCCGCTGCTAGTATGCATCCGGAGCTCCGTGCCTTCACCTGATTGTGTTGGCCGAACAAACCTCTTGCGCACAGAGTTGCTTAGAGTCCCTCGCAGGGCCAGAATCGCTTTCGACTTCTGAGCCGACACCTGCATGCCAAAGGCCTCAAGTGTTTTAAAGAGCACAGCAACAATGTTGAGTAAGTGCTCTAGCTCGGCCAGTGACGTGAAAGAGTCCGCCAGCAGGAAGTCGTCGGCGAACATAGTGAGGATTCTGAGGAGGGTGCTTCGGCCCACCTTGTCAGCCAGTGCACAGCACACCTCGTGTGTGAAGACCAGCCACAGCAAGGGCGCCACTGAGCATCCCTGACGGATGCCTTGAGAGGCGCGAAAGGAGCAGGTGTTCTGATGATGGTGGATGTTGTAGTGTATGGACGAGTGCCAGGCCATGAGGATGTGTATGAGATCCTGTGGGAGCTCCAGTCGACAGAGCCCCTGATACAACTTGGATCGCGGCATTCTATCGAAGGCCTGGGCGAGGTCCACCGTTAGCATGAGGGCTCCATAAAGTGGTACAGCCTTCGTTCCTGCAAATCGTTGGTGGGGATTCCTGGTGTGCTGTTGAAGCTGTACACGCACGGACGAACAATGCTGGTAGACGCGTCTGAGTGCTGCGAATTGTGAACGTCCTTGCTGATAGGCGAACTGAGGGAAGAGCTTGATTTTCTCGATGATGCCCGGCACATGTGGCTGCAGGAGCGCACCTAGGAACTTCTTTCCTAAGGGACAAGCTAAGCCTATTGGACGGTGGTCCTGGGGGTCCCGACCAGAACGGTCTGGTTTGGGGACCAGCGCTAAGTCAACATCTGTCCAGGCCCTGGGGATTTGCAGTGCGGGGGTGGTCCATTGCGCATGAAGGACATCACACAGCCATGGCGAGATCAAGTCCGCACAGAGCCTCCACGAAGCACTGGGTGGGTGCCCTTGTGGCACGGCCTTCCGTCGAGGAACCTGCTGAATATAGTGACACAGCACGGTAGCATCCAGGGGAAAGTTGCCGCTACCTTCCCAGGTACGGGTGGCCATTGTAACATCAGCTGGCTGCGTGGCCCGGAACCTGTGCGAAAAATGTTGTGTAAGGAGACGCAGTTCCTGGTCCGGTGTGAGCATCTGGCCATCATTACCACGTAGCTGCATACGCTTTCGCACCTGCTTGGGGGCAAGTCTTTTAATTATTTGGTAGAGGCCTCGAGAGTTATGGGTACGGGCATGCTGCTCTGCCTCCTCCATGGCCTGCAGCAAAACAGCCCGTCTAGCCTGCTTGCACCGTTTCTGATGAGCACGGTACTGCCGGTCAAAGGTTTTCCAAGCCTTCCAGGCCTGGAACCAGCCTCGAAGACCCTGCTTCCTGACTTGCTTAAAGGCACGCCACTTACTCCAGAGATGCTGGATGCTCTCCTGCACTTGGGGTTGCAGCCACGGAGGGGCACTCTGTGCTGTAGCCTTACCAGCAGGAAAGACTTGGAGGCAGGCATCATACAGGGTCTGATGTAGGGTCTGGACGCCTTCCAGGCTCGTGTGGTGGGCAACATGGGTGGCCACCTTTTGCCGAACCATGGCTATCTTGTGCAAGTTGCTGGGGTCATGAGGATGGTCCAGAGCATGCAGGAGCGCCTCTTGGTCAATGCAGGGACCGGGGCGTCGGCCTGAGTTGACCCAGCAGGGTCTGGAGACGGCGAGCTGAGTTTGCAGCGGCGAGTGGTAGGCCCCGCCTCTTCTTGCAGCGCCCACCTGAAAGTGGTGAAGAGTACGAACCTGCCGGGCCAGGGCGCTGGCCTCACTAAGCCTGACCATGATATAGTCTATCTGCGACCTGGCCTTGCCAAAGGTGAATGTATGGTCGCCTCCCGGGGTGGGATACCAGGTATTCAAGGCGGTTAACCGAAAGGTTTGCAAAAGTACCTCTAGGTCCGAGACATCATCCGGAGGATGACTCAGTTCTGCCCCGACAAATGGGCCAACATATGGAGGCAGGCATCGAAGGGGAGCATTAAAGTCTCCTACCACAACAATTGAGTCTCGGGCTGGAATGCGATTGAGGCACTTGTGCAGCGCCTGCCACATTTGTTGTCGCTGAGCGGAAGATTTCGCGTCTCCGACCACATGAGTCTTTTGGTACACAGCAATGATGTGCATGTGTCTGTGGTCCGAGGTTTGCAGGGGGACACGCACATGCAGTAGACGGCCTTTCAGGTAATGTTCAAAGCGAAGGTGCGAAGAGAGAGCCACCCTGGTGTGAACAGCCACGAGGAGTCCTGCATGTTTTTGGGTCTTGCACCCACTATGTATGCACGACCAGGGACCACTAGTGTATTCCATGCACTCGGTCCATTTGCTCTCCTGGATTATCGCAATGTCCACTGGGGAAGCGCTTAAATGAGTCATGACTTCATCATACACACCACCCCCCAGCCCACCAGCATTCCAGCTGAACACGGTGAGCCCCGCGGGCTCTGGCCTAGGACGTGGCTTACGAGTGCAGGGACGAAGTCCGGCCTTGCTTCTGTCCTCTGGAACTTGTGCAGAGGTGAAGGTTCGGCCTCGGTATTGAGTGTGCCCAAAGCGGGTTGCACGAAGACAAGCTCTCTTGAATGCACGTTTGGCACTGCGCGTGTTAGGCACATTGAGAGGCAGACGAGTCTTGACAGGAGTTGGGAAGCCACCTTGCTTCGGCATCGAAGCTGGGAGACAGGTAAGACAGGAATGAATGCCTCCCGCAGCCTCGGTGGCATGGGCTGCAACCCTCGCTTCTGCTCGCGAGCCTGCACATGCGGGATGTAAACAGACGAGTATGATAATCTTTTGCATGCAGGAGACAAGCGAGCCCCGGGAATTGGGACCCGGGCGGCTGCAGGTGGAAGTTGAGGGGCTTGCCGAAATCTTGATTGGACCTGTGGCTAAGGATCCAGAGCTGGATGCAGGAGCAGCACAGGACCAAAGGGCCGAGAGTGCAGCATCCAGTGCCTCGAGGCAGAAGCTGATGCTCCGGTACAGCCTGCCGGCAAGGAGCTGAAGAGCAAGGACAACTGCTAGGTTGAGGGGCCAGGCCTGGGAGGCCACAGACCTCGCCTTGGCAGGGCAGGCGAGGCAGTCGTACCTGTGCAGACGATGGGGCTTTGAATGGGTGCAGGCCGGCCCAAGGAGCGGCTGAGGAGGGACTGCGGAAGCACAGCCTACTTGCAATGCAGACTTTTTCACCCGGACTGGAAGAGTGCCGGTCTGTTGGTGCAGTCGGCAGGGGCCATCAGGTGTCAAGGCGGAAAGGGCTGGTGCTTCACCTGTGTGGTTTGGGGTGGGGAGAGCAACCGGGGCAATGCAGCTCTTAACAGTTGAAGTTTCCCAAGACCCCTGCCTGGTGGCATCCTCATCTCCATGATTGTGACCGTCTTCCTGCCGGTGGTGACGATTTCGTTCTCGCATGCGAGCAACCATGTTGCGAGTTTCTTGAAGACAGCGACTTGCTGCGCTCAAATTGAAAGAAACGTCACCGGCCTCATAGATGAGGTCCCCCGGCAGAACCGAGGACGGGGCGGTCGCAACAGCCTCCGAGCTAGTGGCCGTGTAAGCCATGGGGTCGTCGAGCTCCAGGGTGTCATCTCCATTCGCCGCGATGGTGGGCACAGGTGGCAGGTCATCCGAGGTGTCCGAGGCCAAGGCCAGGGTCGCTGTGGTCGTGGGTGGTCCCACTGGAAGCGCAGAGGTAGTAGGGGATCTGGAGCGAGTCCTGGATCTAGGTCTGCAGCTGCTACTGCTAGCCGTTTGGTGCAGTCGGGCTCGTCCACTGCGATGGCTGGAGGTCTGTGGTCCTCGGGTTGCAGAGTGCACGGGCCCTGCGTCGTCATCCCAGACCGACTCCGGCGAGTCGTGGGCGTCCTCTGATTCGCCTGTACCCTCGCCTCCATTGCCAGCTCTCTCCACATCGATTTGGACGTGTCCCGTGGCACTGCCCATGGGCGATCTGGTGTGACTTGGCCCCCGGAACAAGAGGCTGTCAGTATCCTGAATCTCAATCGGAAGACCCTGGAGGTAGTCTGCCGGCCCAGCCTCGGAGATGCTGATACGTAGTGCATTCCAGGAGTGGACCTCGGCCAGCGTCGTGGGTGCTGTCAGGAAGGCAGGAGCCGAGCACCCTAAGTGCTGCAGTACATTCTGCACCAGGGACCGGTGCCAGGCCGGTCCGTCCACACTGTGTTCCCCTGGCATGGGTCCTATGGTGCGAGCTGGACGAGGTGATAAACTGGAGGGCATAGGCGGCAATGTCGAGAACGGCGTCGGCGGGCGGCTTGGGTCGTCATGATAGATCCAGAGAGGCACCGGGACTGGTGGCCCAGCCGGTGGAGCATGAGGATCAATGGGCACCGGTTCCGCAGCCTCATCCGCCTCTAGGGCCGCCGTGAGGGTTGAGAACTCTGACCCTGCATGGGAGGCTGAATGGACCGACCCTGCCCCGGAAGCATCTGAGGCATCATCAGCGCCAGCACCAGCTGCAGCCTCCCCATCTGTCGCCCCTGTGGTTGCTTCTGCCGCAGTCGAGATGGATGCTGGGCCAGTGTCGGCCAGGGCCTCATCCAGGATCGAGTCATGCAGAGGATCTCGCAGTGGATCCATGGTTGCGGAGCACAGGAATGGCAGAGGCTGCTGGCGATATGGCAGGGGAGTGGGGCCTAAGCCTAGAGTCCAGGAGTGCCGGCCGAGGTAACAGGCAGCACTAAAGGGCCTAACCCTGAAGGAAAGGGGTGGTGAGGTGTGGTGCTTGGCCAGGCTGATAGTACGGTTTCCCCGAAGTGGGGCTTGACTGCTGCACAAATCAGTTAGATCCTTGCAGGCTTGAGCATACGCACACCTGTTGGCACACCTATTGGTAGCAGACCTGGTGGCTACATATTGTATCAGCGGCACAACTCCCTGTAGAATCAAGGCACAACAAAGACCCTGAAGCTGATGGGCGCACGGAGCCAGCAACGCAGGCCAGCTGCCCCATGTGGCATTGAGTCGTGCGGCAACCTGTTGGTGCCAGGTTAAAGTCTTATTGCGGGGACGTCTGTATCTAGGACGGGGCCAGGCCTGAGGTCTGAGCTTCCGGGGTCTGAGCTGCTTACCTAGGCAGAGGCGTCTCGGGGTAGGTCTAGCGCCGGGTCGGGGTTTTCGGCTGGGCTCACGACTAGTCAAGCGTGTGCAGGGCCAGTGGGCAGCAGCAGAGCTTTCCGACATGCCACGGTACCCACAGATGGTGGGCCAGTTCAGGGTACACATGTTGACACCACGTCTTGATGGGCACAATGTCTGGTGCATATAAGGAGGCGCTAGCAGCAGCCAGAATCTGTGGCGGGTCATGCCCTGTCCAACGGTGCTCGAATTCATCGAGGTATCGATGGTGATTTGCGTAGCCGCCAGCTCGGTCATACATTCCCAGCAGCACCATGTGCAGGAAGTCTCGGCGAACGTCTGCTGCAGCTTGAAGTTGCTTTGCTCGAGAGAGGCAGTAGGAGCAAGCCGTGGGTCTGTCTGAGACATGCCAATCGTGGATCTTATTGCAGCCATGCTGAAAACCAAGAAAGGCAGAAAAAGCAGATGATGCATCCTCCATGGCATTCGAGCTGTCCCTCCCCCCAGCAGCTCCAGCTGTGTTTTCTTGAGGGTCCGAGATCTGCTAGAGAGCGTATGTTCGCAAGAGGAGCCCCAGAAAGTTTTCGGCATCGCCTCGACATCCGTGAGCCGAGAAGCTTACTACTACTACTACTACTACTACTACTACTGCTACTGCTACTGCTACTGCTACTGCTACTGCTAGACGATTACTACGACTACTACTCCTCCTCCTGCTGCTGCTACTACTACTACTACCACCACCACAACCACTCCTACGGCTACTGCTACTGCTACGACTATGACGACGACGACGACGACGACGACGACTACTACTGCTACTGCTACTGCTGCTGCTGCTGCGACTGCTACTGCTACTGCTAATGCTACTTCTACTACCACCATCACCAGCACCACCACCACCACCACCTTCAATGCTGAAGGAGACTTCCAGTACTTTGCGAAACTACTGGTGGCCTGAACGTCTGGCCGGTCGAGCGTGTTGGAAGATGCCTCCAAATTCGAAGAAATAACACAAGGCAGACATGAATGAAGCTTCAAGCGCCTTTGATTATCACGCAGTGGCTCACAACCAAGGGCCGCCTCCCGTGACATCTGCAAGCTGTGCAGCTGCTGCAGCTGCTGCAGGATTTCTGTGTTCGACGTCCGGCCTTGATACTGGAAAGTCATTGCGGCAGTATCTGGCTCCGAATAGCAACATCTGAAACAAATACTCTCCCTGCTGTTGCAGATGCCCCGGAGGGGTGCAAAAGACACTGCAGTTCTTCTCACTCTCCCCGTTGGGTTCTTTTGCCAATGCGTCCTCGGCTTGTCTGAGCTGCAGACTGAGGAGTGACTGCCTGCCCAAAGCCAGAATGCGGAGATTGTTCTACAACTTGCCCTCCGAGGTAACTCCGGAGCAGCACGACGAAACATGCCAAGCCGTAGCAACTGATTGTGCAGCCCCCTTTCATGCTCCTTGTCAGAGCAGCTTTAGACGGACACGACGCAGGCCTCTGGTAGTTCATGTCATAGACTTCGCTGACGGAGGAATAACCTCTCGGGACTGTTCGTAGCCAAAACATGAGAACAACAATAGCAAGGAAACAAGAAACTCCAGCTGATCGTTCGACCACGAGCGTTTCCACGGCTACTAGTACACCTGGCGCGCACCAAACGGTGCCTAGCCGTCTTGAAGGAAGATTGGGACGATTCGCACTTCCCCGGCAGATTCGCCAAGTTGCTGCTTACGTCCTCTGTGTCCACAGAGCCCGGGATGCCAGCAGACCAAATATTGGAGTAACTGCCGCCAACTGCCTGAGATGGTATCATTTTTCCCTCTCGCATGGCTGAGATCAATGCTCACAAGCGAGGCTGGTATCATGGACTTCGGGTTAGATACCCGACAAAGTTTCTCGTTTCAAAACCGCTCTCGAACTGCTTGCCGTCGGGTGGATTTTTCTCAACCAGGCCACGCACACACCATCGTCAGGTTCAGACTTCTACATGCTGCCTCCACCCTTTGTTCTGACACTGGCTTCAAAAGCTTGTGCAGAGCCAGCGGCACGCTTGGTGCTCTTCTTGGAGTCTGCCTTGGCCGATGTGCAACCACGGACGATCGATTTCAATCGCCCAGGCTTGCAGGCGGAGGAGGTCTTTAAAACTTTGGTTCCTCAAATAAACAAGTCCTCAAACCCTTCGACGAGACTAGACACATGAACCAGCAACCACGGCAAAAACATCAAGCCCGGTCCAAGGTAACGGCTTCTGGAAAAGCTGAACCCACAAAACCCGGAACCAGCGGACACCCCCAGGAGGCAGGATTCCGCGTTGAGAATCAGTGCCCCCAACTACCACACCCATTGATGTCTTGACACCCTCCGAGTTTCGCCCGGCCACTCGCGTGGACGTGCCCTGCATCCTCCCAAGCAGTCCGGAGCGCAGGGGTGCATCCTCCTTGGATGCAGCAAGGGACTGCAGGGCAGGAAGTGCGGACGAGGACATGTACGACGTTTGGGAAATAAGACAGTAGTGAGAGTGTGTGTGTGTGTGTATGTATGTATGTCTGTTTTCTGTCTGTCTGTCTGTCTGTCTGTATGTATGTATGTCTGTCTGTCTACACCTAGGCATAAACATATGCATTTTCATATACATATAGATATAATTAGACACACTCACACACACACACACACGCACGCGTGTACTGGGCTTTGGTGGGCTTGGAGTCAGCATTGGCATGGTTGGCTGTGGTAGTATCTCTAGCTCCCTCGCCAAGCAACACACAAGACTTTGGCAGAATCTGCTTCTCAGCAGCGAAGTATGTTAGCTTGGGGTATCCAAGCGAGCAAGAGAAAGCGACACTCGAGCTCGCAAGGGCTGGATACAACTGTTCGAAAGGTTCCGGCTTTCAGATACTGGCAAGGCTCCAGGAGTGCGGCCACCAGCTCCTGCCAGCATTTGTTGCAATGAACAGCAACTAGCTAGCCCACAGTGAGAGATTTGGAGCCATGCATGAGGCTGTCACAAATGCAGGGCATGCACACTGAAGCAATTTGCTTGCGACGGTGTGAGGGATGTAAAAAAGCAAACCGATAGAACGGATGTTTGACAGTGAAGTCAAGGAAACATACAATGAAACCGAAAGGCGGGACGCAACACTATCGGCAGGCAAAGGCACTCCAGCAGACGACGGAAGAATGAAGAAGCGACCATGTACAGTAAGGTAACTATATTAACTACAGGTTGAACACATCGACACCTGCCGATGATTTACGCAGAAAAAGCGCAATTGTTGTACTGCGCAGATCAGGGAAGAGGACGTCTTGTATACGTACTTGCTGCAAGCGAGATATCATCCACGATGAATTCGACAGAACACATAGAATAAAGAGAGGAGGAGCACCTAGAAGAGGGTCGCCCGGAACCAGAGAAACAGAGATGAAGGACCATGTGGCAGGAAGGCTGATGGTACAGTGCTGTCCCCGAAGAAAACCAAAAGAAAACCATAAAAGTAAGTACACTATCGTTTGACAACTACTTCTCTGAGCGGATAAACAACTGACACGAAGCCTCGCTGTTCCCTGTCTTAGGGGCGGAGCAGACATGGTGTGTGTTCAACAACGAGCTCGAAGCGACCGCAGTTCCCCGTTAACAGAACTCTCTCCAAAGATCTGCATCTTTACAGCACACATCCTATTCATCTTCTCTACCTGTTTGGATATGGCTTCCAAGTACAAATAGTCGCGAAAGTGTGGGAATCCTCATGCTTCTCCACGATCTGGTGGTGCAGCTCACGCAGCTGCTGCTCCAAGAAGGCGGCGAAGGCACCCGACGCAGCGCTCATCAAGCTGGGCCACTTCGTTAATTCCGGTGAACGTGCAGGGCAGCCACAAAAAGAAATAGTAGGAGGACGGCGTTTGCAGCCTAGTTTTGCTTGGTCCGGCTCCGTCTACTCATTTGTCTTGTTACGCACGCTGAATTGTTTCCCATGCTGCCAGGGAGACCGCCCTGAGACGGGAGAGCCAAAGCGGCTGTACCACACCGGATCCATGGGTAGAGCGCTCTAGCACCCTAGGATTGGACCCTACGACCGCGGCAGAGTTGTAGCTGCGAGAAATAGAAGTCTCTGCAGAGGCCAAGAAGCCATTCCCGGAGTCGTTCGAGGAAGACTGGTAGATGGGTGGCACAACGCTTGCATGACTGGCATTCTTCTGCAATCGGCCGGAAGATTGAGCGATCTGCACGGAGCCTTGGGGATCGGGGTCATGACAATTCTCAATTCTTTGTCTACAGCCCGTCACGTGCGATGAGACTTAGGCAGGCCTCCCGTTTAGACTGCACTGACTGCACCGCAGCAAAGGAGTCGACTGCACGTGCTGGGTTCTGGAGGCAGCCAAGGTTCGCTCTATTTCCTGCAGCGACTTCGCAACGTTGCCACCCAACCCCACGGAACCTCGGCCCTTGCGGCGTTCGGCATCGTAGCGGAAGGCATTGCAATATCCGTGAAACCTTAGGCGGAGCTCAGGGCACATGACATGACTGCGAGCCCTGAAACACCTCAGCAACTCAAGACAGCCGGGCCCGCAGCCACCACATGTGCCATCTAACTCGCACATCGCCTCCATCGTATCTTCCCCGCACTAGCAGGGAATCCGCAAGACCTTAAAGTGTGACTTTGGATATGCCGGCAGCATGCCAAAGCATGCCGCCTTGCTGGCAGCTCTCACACCAGTGCTGAGAGGCAGGCACAAAGCCATACTGGCATCGTCTGTCCACTGACCTCAGCGGCAACGGAATGAGATGTCACATCATGTCCAACAAGAATCTTTCGACTAGCTGCTCGTCGCACAATATATACCCAAATCGCTGTAAAAGATTGAAATGAGAAACAAACATGACAGCTAGATTCGATTCAAGAGCCCAAAGAAAAGCAGACACGCGGCCATAAAGAGGATCAAGGAGCGAAAAAGACCCAAGACGCACCCAGGACCAAACCATGCCACGAAGCAGATGCCTGAAGCTGGGTCCCCGACCTAGCTTCAAATCAAACTTATTCCTCGCGTTCTGGTAGACCAGCTGCCCGGTGTCGTCCAGCTGTCCACTTAAACAAGGCCTTCTCAAATCCGAAAAGTCCCCCGCCGGCAGATCCTGGCATCGCTTGGGGTGTCGGCTTCAGGATGGGTGTTTTGCGATCTAGGATTTGGAGTTTGGGATTTCGGATTTAATTTCCAGGGTTTAGGGCTTGAGGGCCAGCATGGTCTAACGCTGCCTATGTCCAGACAGGCCCGGTTCACTTCACTTTATCTGACAAGGACTCCTTCCTAAACATGAAGACTCTAACTGCCCAGGGCTCAGGGCTACTTCACATGTCATGATACCAAGAAGTGGGACAAATGGCGAATGTTGGTGCCGAAGCGAATTCCAAGTTTTCCCAAGCAACTATGTACTGCTCAGGAATCACTCTAACGCCCATCAGGTCCAAGAACGCTCATCAGGTCCAAGAGACAGAGATATCATGCTCATAACTGAACTTTTCACGAGACCCAGCTTCGTCGGTTTCGACTCGTCGGCCAAGTGTTCAGACTCACACGCCAATCTTGCAAAATGCCACTACAGTAGTGTACCGGCGCACACCTCGCCTCAAAGGCGCAACTCCGAAACAGCAACCCTGCGGTAAACTCCAAATCCTACACCCTTCAACCCTCAGATGAGCTGCACGTCCGTCTTTGCCAAGGCACTGGGAGCCGGGAATCGACAGCGCAGAATTCTAACCTGGACACAAAGAGAATTCGAGCCTGCAGCTTCGTTTTAAAGCAATGGGCTTGGGTAGTGCCGGCGACTTCTTGAGATCATGATTTGCTATAACCTTCCCATTTTTAAAAGCCTTGTAGCTATGACTATTCCTTCAACCATCGCGACCCTTGTTGCCGCCAACAACTGGGTACCGCAAACTTCGATGGCACCTACTTTGGGGCTTGCAGGCTTCAGGACTCGTTGACATAGAACCATCCAAAACCCGCCAAAGCCTGAGAAACTCTCAGGGTATCTGCTCTGCAGCCCCAAAAAAACACACACGGAGGCTCTACAACCGAAGCTTCTGCCCACAAACCACACGATGCAACACACATCCCAGAGCTCGAGATGTCTTCTGTGGTCCCGCACGGTGCGCCGCACGCGTCGCCCAGGGCAAGGCCGACCAGACAGCCGACGGCAGCACCACAACCTGGGTCCTGGCGAGTTCGGATGGTCGTGAAACAGGCAGCAATGGGCCAACTTCTTCCTTGCTGCCTGACTAGTCCTGCCACTTAGGAGCGACTCATCTACCTCTGACACATTTCTACTTGCACCCGCGTGCAGAACATGAGCTCCTCTGCTGCTAGCTTGTCAAGAATGGCCCACCACTCGCCACCGGATTTGGGATCATTGCTGCCCCTCGGTGGGAACAAATGTGCTGTGCATGGTATTGCAAACTGCCACGGAGCTATCAGGCAAACACAAAGCGAACATGCACGGTGTGTAACCAACAAGCATCGCATCACGGGACTCGGCAGAAACTCACCTCGCCGAAAGTCGAGGCACACCAAGCCGTCTCAACATCAACATTTTTTGGCCGACCTTCCAAGACTCTCCACTCGCAGCTGACCCCACCTGGTTTCTCAAGGAGGCCCCTTTTCCCCCGGTCTCCCCGGGAAGCCTCGAAAATCCCAGGGCCGCCATAGAATGGCATCGTTCGGCCAAGGCGCAGTGCATCGGCAAGCGGCGACCAATGACACAAACGACTGCCCGTCTCCTCCGCCAGCCGTGTTGTGGGTGCCATCTTTCAGATACGGATGATACGGCAGAGGGGCAATGATGGTGATGATGGTGGTGATGGTGACTATGGTCGTGATTTGGGTGCTGGTGGTTGAGAAATTTGGTGGTGGTCTTTGCCATGATGTAGCGCTTTACCAAATCGCATTGGGCTTGTCAGGCATATTACAGTATAAGTGAGTTGAGAACCCCACAGAATAGTATTTGTAGTTATTCAGGTGTCCTTGTCATTCACGGACGGAACACAGATTGGGTGCGTCCGGTTGATCTTGTGCTGCAGCTGCTGCAGCCTGGCGTCGCACGCCCGAAATCAGAGGCCGCTTGTGGCCGTACAGCCCTCTACTCCTCAACTGCTTTTGTAACAAACCCTTTGCGCCAAGGTACAAGTCGTCCATGGGCTTCTACGGCGCGATTCCCGTGTCTGGGGCCGCTTTACACAAAAATGGCCAGCAAGAATTACAGGGGCTGTGCTCATGCGGCCGTCTGTGAAAGTGGGTCCGGCTTGTCTCGCGAACAAGGGCTGATGCTCCCCCTAAGCTTTGCGCTCCTTTCTTGTTATCTTGTTATTTAACGAGGTGCCTCTTTTCTACGGTTCTTCTCGAGGCACCCTGAACAAACGAAAATACTTAAGTATGCTATCACTGAAACCCAAGAAAAGACAACAACCTCGAGGAACCCACAATTACTTTCATCCTGGGTCCAAAGCGGCAGCAGTGCCAACCGATCGCCGGCAAGCGGCCAAAGACTCCACCGACTCTTCAGCTCACAAACAACAAATAATAATAGTAGTAGTAATAATAATTGCCTTTTAAGGCAGGCTGCTCTCGCAAACT